TCTCATATCTGCCTTTGCAATTTAACAATGGAGCTCAGATTTGCCTCGTTGACTGGGATTCAGTCCAATCTCCGACAGACTGTTCCTAAAGCAAAGGAGTTGGGTCTCTCTGTAGGCCTGTTCCAAGGGAAATCCAGTGAGCGGATTTCCATCACAGTGAGCGGTGATGGAAATTTAAAGGCGCTCACCATTGGGCAGTCTCAGGGAGACCGGGGCTGGCACAGCCAGAGACCAGTCTCATTCTCCCAACCCCCACCCCAGACAACTACCGACAAACTGTTCTTGTTCCTCGCATCTGGTAGTAACCTCTACAAATAAATAGATGAATGACAGATAGATGGACAGACGAATGGGTGGGTGGATGGATGAATGGAAGGAAGGACAGGTGAACAGACAGATGACACAGACATATAAAGATAGATACCATTTTTTATTTTCAACTCCAAACATTATCTGTTGACTCTACTACATACAACGAAAATGTAGCAATCGGGTGTTTGAAAAGTCATTACTTTAGTTCTTCTACTCTTGGCGTTGCACTCAGGGTAAAGCATTACTCTTGCTTGGGGTGACCGGACAGAGCAGGGAGCAGCCTTTGTCCTGATGGGATCCGAGAGCTGCCATGCCCACCCTACATGGCTCCCGTCCAGCTCTCCGACTGCCTACCGACTGCCTTCCCAGGACGGAATAACTTTCCCTTGGTTAAGACCACTGCTCTTCGAAAGCTTTTCTCTGATCTCCAGTTGTAGCTGATCCCAACCAATGCCCCACTGCTCTCAGGGCTCAAGGCAAGTGTCCTTTCATGGCCTGGCTTGTTCCCCGCTGAACCTGCTATTGCAACTCCACAGCGCTCTTGCTTACCACACACACTCTGCAAGAGCTTTCCTTCCCTCCCTCTTTTATAACCTGACTCAGAGCCTCACACGCATTGTCTGCTCTGCCTGGTACATACTCCCCTTCCTCTGACCAACATCCTTCAGATCTCAGCTCAAGCCTCACATCCTTAGATGAGCTCCTAATGCCTCCCCCTCCAAGCCTAATTTAGGTCCCACCCTCTGCTGGTATTCTCTCCCGTTCTTCTGCTCTGTAGCACTTAATACTGTATTTGCCATTATGCACTAATTGGTGTGTTTGTTTAATGTTTGTTTCCCGCACTAGACTATGCACCATGAGGGAAGAGTGTATGTCTGTTTTGTTCACTATTATGTAGCCAGGACTTACAACTATCACATACCATAGGTGATCTGTAAGTATCAGTGAAAGGATTTTTTAAAAAATGAGGCATTTCAGCTCAGAGAGGTTAAGCAACAAGCTCAAGTTCACACAGACAGTAAAGCTGGAGTTGAACTGAGGTTTGTCTGGCTTGTTCTAGGCTCACCAAACAACTTTCTCATAATTTGGCTTCCCCTTAAACTTTTCCTCTCAGAAGAAGAGACAAATTTCCTTGACAGGTAAACACTAGTGCCCAGTTTCCCAGATGGTTAAATTTCTCATTAAAAATTAGCACGGTGGTGGGTTTTGGTGTACAAATCCCATTTTCTCGTAAGTTTAGTGAATGAGACAGCCTCCCTGCGCTCGGTCAGCACCTGCAGCGCAGAGGGACAACATTGAGACCCAGACCCGGCCCCGTGCTGCCCTGGGATCTGCTAGAACCCAGACTCCACAGCCAACACAGCTCAGGGGGTGAGGGGCAGAGTCAGAGCAGGGGAAAGAAGAAGCTGTATGAACTAGACACATTGTTAGAAAATACAGGGAAAACACAGGCACTCTTTTAAGGCTATTTGACCCAAGTAGCAGAACATAATTTTGGTGCAGGTTATATTTGTTGATATGTTCCTTTACCAGAGATTTTACATCCAAAGTGGAAATGCAAACAGCCAGATACATTTCTTACTGGTTGGTTTTTTTTTTTTGGGGGGGGGGGCGCAGTGGAGGCGGAGGTTGAATAATACAAATAAGAACCAAGCGTTGACCACACTAAATTATATCAAAGGACAAAGAAATCAAAAAAAGGCAGGCACTCACAGGTTCAGGAGACAAGAATGCTTTATTGGGTGCTGGCACGCACGCAGTCCGTCCACCCTCTCGCTGTCCCCGCGGGCTCGCTCCCGGCCCTGAGGAACGCACTGGCGATGCTCTGCTGGCTTTCCTCTCCAGGCCTGGCCTGCTGGCTGGGAGAGCCGCCGTGAAAACCGGCCCCTGACCTCAGCAGCAGAGACACAGAGAAGGAACAAAGTAGGGGAGTCGTCACAACGCACATGGGCACAAGAACCAACCTCCAGCTGCGGCGAATCAATCACTGGGTCCCAGAGATGAAGGAGACCAGACAGTCCCCAAGACAGTGCCTAGTTATTGCCGTGACTAAAGGCTTCTGGGTGGGCAGACAGGTCTGTCACAGGGTGCCAAGGTGGAGTCAAAACCTCCCACTTAACTTCCAGACCTTCAATGAGAGGAAGTCAAGTATCTTTGAAGAGAAACCTTCTTTTAATGCTGATAGGCATATGGTAAACCTTCCCTGCAGCCTTTCCCAAAGGGATCTGGTGGGACGTTGATCTGGGAGCTACGGAAGGAAAGGGCGCACACCCAGACTTGAGGAGAGGGGTGTCCTCTGTAGGACACTGGCTCCGAGCCAAGTCTAATTTCTGGGAAAAGAAAAGCATAGGGCCTGCCCGTCAATGGGGATGATCCACAGGCCACACCTGATGCTACAGTAGACCCTGCGGGATCTCAAAGGGGTTACTTTAAGTATGTAGTTGAAAGGGACATGTTTTGAAATAGGCATAAACCCCACAATGGCTCTCTGATTTGTGGGGTAAGAGTGACTTTCGTAGGACAGGACAGATACAAGCCACGAGAACTCCCCCTCTCTAGCAAAATGGTAAATCAAAAGTAATACCATGTTCCTGGGGGAATCGTAGACAGTAGTGTCACCACCAAAGGCTTGACAGTGAAGTCGCAGCGATTCCTACCACAGTTCAGCTTGGCCAGTGCGAGACACCGGGAGGTCTCTGGACTGCGTAAACTTTCAGGAGCCACTCCAGCCGCAGGCGCTGCTCCAGGGTGGCCTCCTCGCTAAGGCAAGTTCATCCAGCGCCTGGCATTTGGCGTAAATCCTCTGACCTAGTGAATCCATTTTTTTCTATTGTGATGAACAGAGCATCAGAAGCACTGCATCTTCACCTGGCAGGGCCGCAGTGCTCCACCGCCGTCCTGGCTTAAGCTCACCGGTCCAGCTCCGTGCCCAGGCTGGCTGACAGGGACCGGGACCGCCCCGCACATGGGCAGCGCCTGCCGACAGGGCCCGGAGGCCGCCAGTTCCCCTAGCTGCCATGGTGAGGCATATGCGAGGCAGGGATCGGAGGTAGATCAGATTAGAACACAAAGGCTTACCCCTTGATAAAAGTTCCTCGGGGTCAAGGGGTCTGTTGAGGTAAGAATATTTCCTCCATAATGTAGAACAAATTACTCCATTTTGGATCCCTTACCACTAAGGCCCAATTCTAGTAAAAAATGTCACCCTGAGGTATCTTGCTCTAACCCATGTACTGAGTGACCTAGAAGGGCCACCAGCTCTGGGTAGGGTCTAGAGCAAACAAAGGCTGTCCTGCCAGGAAAGCTTTTAGCAGAAACAAGACCCAATCGGGGGCTTGAGGTCTCTGTCCGCCTGGGACACACTGGGGAGCCACTTAGAGCCGGTGGCAGAGCTGAGCACATTATGGAGCTTGTGGCAAGTACTGACTAGAAAAATACAGCAGGGGAGCCCAGGGTTTGGAACCAAGTGATTCTCTGGCCCAAAACTACTAGCCTTTCACGACGTGGCCCTCTGGCTGGCCGCCGGGCTCTGGGAGGGTCTGAAGGCTCGGCTACAGCCCACCAGGTGGCCGCGCTGCCCCTCGTGTGCGGGGTTATCTGATCCACCAGCCACCGCGAGGCACGCGGCAGCACCCCATCACCAGGCGGGCAACGCGGGGGAGGGCTCCGAAGGCCCCAGGAAGCCGTGCCCGTGGGCTGCCCACACCCTCCCCCACCAGGCCCTCTCCTGCCCGCCTGCTGAGCTCCCCTCCATCCACAGCCACGGCTCTAGGAGGGCAGGAATTTGTCTCGACCATCATGGGCCCCTCTGGATCTGGATTTGCTTTCCTCGCCCATCACGCTGGTCCCACCACCAATATCCACGGAATTACGAAACGTCGTAAACGTCACCAAACGCACTTTACAGCACAAGTAAATTAATGGGCTGCTGCCTGTGGCAGTCACGCATCTTGCCAGCATCCCCACGGCCCAGAAGCAGTTAGCTTGACAGTGTAATGAAACGGTTTATCAAGGACTCAGCCACGGCCCAGCTCAGAGACAATCCCTCGCGAGGCTGCGTCAGGCCCGCAGGATGTGTCATAAGCGCCGAACTGGCAGGCAATTCACGGTGCTATTTCTTTTACAGGCAAGGACTCCGCGTGAGGACGGGTCTGTTATCACTACAGCTCAGCACCCTTCTCACCCCTGAGGTTTGGGACCAGGCTGGGAGAGAGGTTTTAGTCCCCAAGATGCTTCCTCAAAAAGTCACAATAAGAGTGGAGGCGACTGGGAGCCGAGGCGCCTGGACATTTCAGGCTCCTCGCACCCAGCGGCCACGGGCGTCGCTAGGAGGTTAACTCTATCAAGGGGAAGGGCGCTTGCTGCTGCCGAAAAGGAGCACAGGGCCCCTGCAGAGCTGGACTTGAGCACCGAAGACCTGGGTCCCTCGGACCCGCAAGACCCCTCGTCATAAACACGGGTTCTCCTGAGCTGGCACAGAACGGGATGGTCGCCTTTGCCCCCACCTGCTTTCTTGCTGGGTTATGTAATTTTGGTTGAAAATGGTTACTTTTACCAGTTAATACACAGGTTTCAAGATTTCAAAGTGGGATTGTGATAGAAGAGGGAGGAGGAACGTAATGGGAAGGGTCTCTTCTGAGACCACATCCTACACCTTTGACCCCCAAGGCTGCCGCTGCAGAGTCGGGCATAAAGCAGGGAGGGGCTCACTGCAGGTCTGCTGAACGGACGGACGAACGAATGAACGAGTGGACAACGTCCCAGCTGCAGTTCACCAAGGCAGCCTGGCAGGCGGGCGGGGAGAGGTGGGGGCGCACTAGGGCAAGAGGACAAAGTGGGGAGAGTCCCCAGAGGAGACAGAGAGGGCAGAAATGTCAACATGGAGGCGTACATGTCAGGCAAGGGAAAGCTGGGCCTGGGGGCGGGGGCAGGGACGGACTGGGAACGAGAAGCCTCTCCACCGCGCGGGACGCAGAGTGGTCGGCGAGTGGCTGAGAGGCAGGTGCTGGCTGACCCCTGGGCCGGTCTGGCTGCCATGGAAGAAGCCAGAGACACTGGTGTTTCCCCAGAGCCCCCAGCTCAGCTTCACCCTCCTGGGTTCCTTCTGTGTGTCACTCTCCCAAGTGAAGGAGCCGTGCCACGCTGGCCCCAAGTCCACAGACACCCTGCAAAGGGGCACCGCCATCAGCCCAGCTGCGCCAGAAGCACAGACTGTTTAGCTGTGGCCACAGGAGGCTGAGACTGAACGTCGAGGCCGGAGCCAAACATGGACTCCTTTCTCCAGTGCGCCCAGGGACTGTTGGCCGCCTCAGGAAGCCTGCCTGGGGGGAGGGACCCGGAGCCCACACCCCCACAGCCACACTGGAGGAGGGTGCGCAGGAAACACAGTTGCTGCCTTTATTGCATTCCAAGGGGAGCAGGCTAGCTCCAGCCCCACCCCACCCAGGGCCTCCAGGAGGGGCCCCCAGGAAGGACACAGGTCCTGGGCCAAGCACAGCAGTTCCTTGGGAGCCCACACACGAGGTCCCAGGGCCGGAGATTCAGGATGGAGAGTTAATGCATGGGGGCAGGGGTCCTAGGTCCCAGGCGCAGAGACAGTCCTCCACCCCAGCCGGGAGGCGAATGAACTGCACATGAGCCCCCCTCCTTCAGTATGGAGCACACAGTCCCTCAAAGTCCACACTCTCCCTCTGGCCCCAGCTGCTGACCACTCTCAGGCCAGTTCCCACCTCACGGGAGGAGGGTGTGGGAAAAGTAGGGAAGGAGTGGACTGGGGTGGACTAGAGGCCAGAGGGTCTGCTCCTCACCTGGGTCCTGGGGGTAGGGTGGTGGGCCAGGCTAGGGAGGCCATCAGGCAGGGGACAAGCAGAGTCAGCGAAGGGCAGGCAGCAGGCTGCAACCGGGTTCCAAGCTAGGGATGGGGGACGGGGCGCAAGACAGCAAGGGAGGCAGGCAAGTGAGCGCCTGAGTGATGGGGGAAGGAAAAGCAAGAACACGTGTCACCAAAGACCACCACACAAGGACTGAACAGGCCCCAAATGGGGCTCAGGGACGGGTTAGTTGCAGGGTGAGCTGGGATGAAGGAGGCACAGTAGCCTGAGGGAGAAGACACCCTGAGAGTCACGCAGCAGAGGAAGCCCGGAGCCCTGCAGTCAGGGAGACAGCAGCGTGGAGCTAAGGCAGAGGGTGCGTGCTGGCCTGCGTGCCCCAGAGGACACCGTTCACAGCAGGGCCTGCCTGGGGCGAGGGGCCGGGGTGCGGACTCATGCAGAGGACTCAGGGAGCCTCCAGCAGTGGCCAATGTAAACTTCAAGGAGGGCCTCAGCCCCCGGGCACTTGGGGTGGGGCCTGAGGGCCCGGGGTTACATGGCACCAGAAGAGGCCACCGGGCTGTGTGCCATGCCCCAGAGCCACCTGATGAGGCGCTGACTGAGGAGAGGCTGCACGGAGAGGCCCCCCGGGGGGGTGCCTGCTCAGTGCACCTTCCTGGTTGGTCTTTATTGGGAAAGTCTCCATCAGTTCGAGCTGCTTCCTTGTTGGTCTGCTGCTGGGTGAAGGCCCCCAGCCTCTCGTAGGGGCTACCGCGTGCCCTGAGCCTTCGAGCCCCCTTCTTGGGTGGGAGGCTGTCCCAGTGACTGGGTGGCAACTGCCCCTGAGGCCTGAGGAGTAGCCTTGGAGCTGGGGACACTCTTCCGGGTGCCCTGGGGACTGGGGAGGCCTTTCTTCTGGGGCTGAGGACTCAGTTGGGGGCCCTTCCTGCCGGCAGATGGACTCTTGGCGCCTTTGGCCTTGGCTTGGGAGTGGGCAGGCTCAGGGCCCTTGAGGGGTTTCAGCCCCAGCATCTCACAGAAGCTGTTGCACTGGTGGGAGGAGGCAAACTGGTCCAGCAGGGCAGGGAAACAGCTCTCCTTGAGGCCTTGGTATCTGCAGCCAAACAGGAAGCGCTGAGCGGGAGTCCGACCCAGAATGAGGGTCCTCGGGGCCGGCTTTGGGATGGCCGTGGCCAGGGGCTTGTGGCCACGGTACATACTGCCCCACCTGGGAGTGCTGGGGAGTCTGCCTGGTGCCACCTTAGGCGGCGGGATCTGAAACCTCAATTCTAAGCCGAGGCCTCATTGCGCCCTGGCACGTGGAATCCATCATGTGGGACGCTAATTGGTGTGGGCACACTCTGCCTCTTTAATAGAAATTAGAGCAGACTCCAGGGCCCCATCGCTCCGCCCGCCGGGCCCTTGCCCCTCTGCACTGGGATGAGCTTTCTCAAGTGAGGAGAGGAGGAGCCGGCACAGTCAGGGCCCAGAATCGCAGGTGACCCCGTGTGTGGGCATCAAAGGCTGCGGGCCCAGGTCCGGGGCAGGGGCATCCGCGGCCCCACAGGTGCACCTGGGACCCTGTGGCCTTGGGCACAGCACCTCCGGAAGGAAGAACTAGGAGAACTCTGTCTTTTTACACCCTGAAAAGACTCTCGAAGGCATTCTGTCCTTGAAGAGTACTCACCCTCGCAGCTTGGTGGCAATCTGCACATCAGTCACCTTCCAGTCAACCCCTGAAAGGACAGGCAGTTGGGAGTTGAGGGGGCGGCAGCCTGGGCTGGCTCCCCATGTCTCCGAGGCGGGTATCCCTTTGGGTGGGGACCTGCCAGATTTCAGAGCGCGTCTTCAGGCCTCCTCTCACGGGGCCGTCCCCGCTGGCCTGTCTCACAGGCCGCATGGGTACTTCTGTGTTAACAGTAGTGGTAATATTCCCATTGTCACAGGGGGGGGTGGTAGGCTCAGAGTTAAGTGGCTCAAGCAAAGTCACCTTTGTTCATTCATTCAGTAGCAGAGCAGTGGCCCGTATGGGTCAAAGTCAAAGTTCAATTGTTCCTACTCCTAAATCCAAAACTGCTCCAGCCGGGCAACCCCGCCTCTGCTGGGTCAGGCCGGGTTACAGACTGGGCTGGCCTGTGGCTCTGAGCTAAGGCTTTCTCCTTCCTCTTAACAGATTTGGGCAAGAGAGAGGAGGTGGAAAAGCGAGGGACGTGAGGGCGGGCGAGCAGAAACATAACGCGGGCTGAAACCGGCCTCTGCCTGGGCACAAAGGCGGCAGGCACTGCAAGATGCCACGTGGAGCCCGGCACGCACGCCTTTCAGTGCGCCCGTGGCTCTAGACTGGGCCGCGGGAGGCCCTGTGCGAGTCAGGGCTGCATACGAAGGGGTGCCTGTCCCACCCACTCCACAAGGGCATCGTGAACAGACGAGGACAGCGAGCAGAAAGTGGGCTGCGGGCCAGCACACGAGGCCTGTGCTCTGCCCCGCACCGGCCCTCCCACACACGTGTGCACACCCTCACATGCCCACACCTGCCAGATCCGTGACCAGGAAGCTGCCGTTCGTCCACAGATACAGCCAGTGCTGGAAGGTCTGGCATTTCTGCACGGCCTCCGTGCTGCCTGATGCCGGCGCGTCCCGGGAACAGTAGGGCTCCAGGGCCCTGCCCAGGTCCTCCTCCAGCGTAGCGTACGGGATGGTGTTCGCGGGCCGGTAGATCAGGTACAGCGGGATGATCCTAAACACAGTACCGCCCTGCCGTGAGCAGGAGGTGGGGGGCAGAGAGCTGCCCCCGCATCCTGATCGCATAGTCTTGGATCTAAAAGGAGGGCCCTTCCAAGAAAGAGCCCCCAGCTCCAAGAGGGGAGGACAGCACGGGAGGGGGGCCCAGGAAAGGAAATGGAGGCCACTGGCTTGAGAGTCCTGTCCTCTCTGAGGCCAGCGGGAGTGGGCCTGAACCACGCTGTGGCCCCAGGAGGACCCTGGGCTTGGGGGAGGGACAGAAAGGAACCCCCCTAGAGAGGTTTCAACCAGACTGTGGCTCAGTGCCAGCCAGACCCCAGCCTTCCAGAGCCGGCACTCTGGCGTCAAAGTGGAAACAATTATCATTTACAGCGAACTCCTATGAACCCCACACTGACGGCTGCTACCGCCGGAGTCAAAACCAGCATGGCTAGGAGCCGAGCCGAGCCGAGCCCGCCACCTTCCGAGAGGCCCAGGGCCTGCTGTGCCACACCCTGCAGGTACCAGAGACTGGGCTCAGGCGTGGGGACGTCAGGGGTGGCTGAGAGGAGACTGGACACCAGGGCAGAGGCCTTCCGAGGGCAGGCAGGGAATCTTGGGGTCCTTATTTCTGGATTTTGTAGGACCAACAAGCTGAGCACAGGGTTAGCTGTGGCCCCTTCTGCACGTGGCCATGACTCCGGACGCCCCTGAGGGGCTATAAAATCACAGCTTACCCCCGCCCTGCGCACTTACTCAGGCACCTCCCCAAAGCCAGGCGCCGCCCGGGCTTCCGCCGCAAAGATTTTGCAGTATTCCCGGCTCATGTTCTGGATCTTGCATCCCTGTGGACCACAGAGAACCCTACCCGATCAGCGAGAACGCCCCCTCCCCCGTCCCCCTCCAGCCCAGCCAGAGGACTGACTGCGGGGAGCCCCGGGGTCAGCGGCAGCACGGGGGCCGCTGAAGGGGCGGGCACAGGCCGCCCCACCCACACTCACTCAGGTGAGACGCCTCATCTCACACAGGCGGCTTCTGGGCCAGATACGTTTGAGGGCAGTGGGAAAGGTTTCGGCTGAAAAACTAGTCTGGGAACTCTGGCCCCAAAGGTGTCACCTGGGCTATGCCTCAGGCTCCCCTCAAAGACCACCCCAGAGTCCCGTCAGAAAGATCGGGGCTGATGGCTTCTGCCTCTGTGCTGGCCTCCCAACAGGCCCCGGGCTGGGAAAGGGGAGAAGGTACGAGAACGCAGGGATGGCAATGGGGACCAGGGCAGGACAGAGTACCTGGATGGTGACGTCGTAGTTTCTGCCCAGGAGGGAAGTCTCGCTGCTGGGCCCGAACACCAGCAGGCTGGACACCTTGATGACACACGTGCGGCCCGACTCAAAGATGGGCTCCAGCCCGTAGATGACCTTGGCCTGGGAGGCCTTCCGCAGGCCGTGCCCATGTCCACCCCCTCGCAGCTCCTCGCTCACCAGGCGCCCGAAAAGCTTGTCCCCCCAGCAGCCAGAGTCAGCCAGGCCCTTAGCAAACACCATGGGGGTCATCTCAATCTCTTCTCCAACTGGAGGGAAACGGGAAAAACAGGGAAAACTAGAAGCTCCTGCCTCCCTGATGGGGGGTCGACAGGGCAGGAAAGGGCCGGAGCGGTCTCCCCGCTGCTCCCCCCGCCCCAGCGTGCTCACTCCTGCTCTCTGGTGTACGCCCTGGGTCCCCCACCAGGGCCTGCACTCCGGGGGCAGAAACTGTATCTGACACACGCCTGCGTGTGTAACGGTGCTCGGGAACGCCCCGCACACAGAAAGGACGTGGTCAGTGTGTGTGGGAGGCAGGGTCTCCTGTGGGCGTGGCAATCAGTGCAGGATACCAGAACGACCCTGTTTCAGAATTAGGAGTTTTGATCAAATGAATAAATGACGCCATCGCAACCAACATGTGTGACTCAAACAGAAAGTGTGCGGGACCAACCCAGGAGCAGTGAGCCCCCCGGTGCTCAGACCGTGACCACTAACTATCATTTCCCACTAAAGGGTCCAGGGCTCCTTGAAGAAATGGCCGATTCCAGGTCTAGGGCAGGTCGCTGGACACACCTGAGACATCTTGTCAGACCAGAAGGGAGCGGAGCTATTAAAAATGAGTGGAGATTTTTCTAAAGGACACAGGAGCCGACCTTCTGAAGGGGCTTCCACTGGCCAAGATGAGACGACCTTACCAACAAAAATAATGATTTCTGCAATGTATTAAACATATCGAATATACCAAAAATCCCCGCGTTCATAATTATCATTGAACCCCCGGCCCTGCAAAAGCACCGGACGTCCCTGGTGACCTCTGGAGGGTGCTCGGGCACCACCGCTGGGTAACCAGGCCACCGCTCCCCTTGCAGGAGGAATGCAACGCATGAGTGAAGAAGAAAGGATAGAATGAAAATGCTGCATGTTGCAAACGCTAATGAAATAATGGGTTTACACAATAATCAGTGACTGTGAAAACCCCCAGTAACAACATGGGTGTACCAGACACAGTTTTTTAACTTTTAAAAGAGGTGGATCAGGCAGAAAACACCTGAAGGGACCCGGTGACCGATCTTAACGTTACTAAAACGATCAGATGTTCTGTGACTCCAGACAGGATGCAAAAGAAAACACGCTACACACACGTGACGTGGCCTTGCCAAAAAAAAATATATACCTGAACCTGAGCAAGCCTCTCGATCTGAATACCAGTTTAGAGGGGAGACACAGATGGAGAGACATGTTCAATGATTACATAATCAACAAAATCTACAATGGAAGAGATTCTACACAGCGAGTGACTACAACAAATAAATGGCAAGGAGGGAAAACAAATGAGGGTGAAAACACTGATACCTCAGAGAGACTTACGAGTTATGGCAGCCCAAAGCAATGAGTGGCTTCTAATTCAAGTAAACCAAAGCTTATGAGGCGCCCGGGAAAACCGGGCTGGGTATTTGATAGTATGAAAGAATTATTACAGGCGTGCCTCAGAGATGCTGTGGGTCCGCTTCCAGACCGCCCCATTAAAGAGTGTCCTGCAACAAAGGGGCTCGTAATCGTTTGGCTGGTGGAGACTCCTGCCTTCAAGGTGTAAAAAATGCAACATCTTTGAAGTGCAACCAAGGAAGGGATGCCTGTACTGAGCTTTTACGTATGAGGTTAGAGTTGATACTGAGTAAATGTGGTTTGATAACTCAGCAAAAAGTACTGGTAAATGAGTGCGCGAAGGAAGAAACCAGTGCCTCAGCTGGCCAGTGAAACTCCAGGAATCTTCCCGACACCAGCTGCCTTCACAGTCCTAGTCCTGAGCACGTCTCTTGCAGGAGCAACACAGACTCCTCCTCGAACATCTGGACCTTTCAAATGCTTAGCAAATTTCAAGGTACATCACTGTCACCAGGGAGCCTGCAGGAGATGCATTTTCCCAGGTCCCTCCCCAGAGCCGAGGAGTAGGGAGGCGTGCAGCAGGGCCTGAGAAACTGCCTTCCAGCAGGCTCCCGGTGCAAATCTGACGCACAGAGCGCTGAGGGAATGCTGGGAGGGAGCTGGCCGGGTAAGGTGCGCCCTGGAGGCCCGTCCTGTGCTTGGGCAGGCACTCGGACACAGGCCAAGGGCACAGAGCTGACTTAGCTCCTCGTGGAACACGCCCTCTTAGCCACCCCTGGCCCAGCCACCCTGAACTAGGAGGCAAAGGGCTGCTGTCTGTGGAGGTGAACACGGCATCTGGAACGGATTCCACGTCCCCGGAGCGGGCCCCTCAGCACATGGCCAGGCAGGAACGATGGCTACCCACTCCCCACTCAAGGGGCTCCATACCTTCACCTTCTTCTCTGGATATGAATCCTGACAACACTGCGTAGAGAACAACAAAGAGAAAGCAGCTGCCTCAGGCTGGTCTGCCCAGAGCCAGGGCCATCCCCGCAGGGGACCATGGCCCGCCCTCCGGAGCACTCACCCTCGGGGCTCAGGCAGAAGTCAGTGGAGGCCGAGCCGTGCTCATTCTGGATGGTGCAGCGGTACACACCGCAGTCCACGGGGGACGCCTGCACGATGGCCAAGGCCGCCGGCCCCTCGTCCCCTGCGCTGCAGAGAGGGGGACCGTTCCTGTGAGGGCCGTCGCCTCAGCACAGCCGGGACCAGAACGAGGGCTCAAGGCTCCTCAGACCCAGCTCGCAGAGGCCGCTGGGAGCCCTGGGGCAGGCAGCCAGGTGAAGGGGTGCTGCCGGACCACACAGGTCTGGTCCACAGTCCTGACACGCACTCACTGTGTGACTCTGGACAAGGGACGCGTCCCTTGGAGCCTCGATTTCCTCCTCTCTACTGTGAAATGCCAGAATCCCTCTCCTAGGGTTACCGTGAGGGTTGAGTGAGTGACAGACCCAAAGGGCCAGAACAGCGCCCAGCATGACAACTGCAGCAATTAGGGGCCAGGGCAGGGGAGGTGGCCTCCAGACCGCTTACCTCCTGCCCACCTCGCCCACTGGGCGCTGATCCTTGGCCCACGTCAGGACTGAGTCACTGAGAATGTTGAAAAACTGGCACCAGAGCTTCAGGCTGCCCGAGGCATCGGGAAACTGCTCCACCCGAATCTTGCGAATCACCTGTGGGGCTGGGAGCAGGGGCCCAGGTGAGGGGACCGCGCCCTTCCTCTCCGGCTGTGCCCTCTCCGGCCCGGCCGGGGCTCCCCCGAGTGTCCTTGCAGAACAGGCCGGGACACCCGCATTCACGTCTCCACACAAACCCACTCTTCCGTGGCCCCTGCTGTGCCGCACCCGTATCCCCGAAGCGCACATCCTCGCTGGCACCCGCTGCCCACCCCCGCCCCCCGGCCAGGGAGAGCCTTCCGGCGGAGGACAGCGGTCCGGAGGGGGACGCCGGCTTGCGTCCCAGGCCCCTGACCCTGGGGGCCTGCACCTGAGTCTCGCCCCCACTGCTCTGTGCTCGTGGGACAAGCCTGCAAAGAGGGGAAACAGGGATGGTGGCAGAGGCAGGGGACGCAGTTGAGGCCGGTTCCTGTGCCAAGCACTGGATTTATTCTGTCGCATTCAACCCCTGCAATGTGACGCAGCCGGTACCATCGCCAACTCCGAGAGAAGCAGGCCTCTCTGATCCTGAAGCGTGTGGGACCGTGACACGAGAGCGCCCCTGCGAGGCTCTCCGTGAGCCCCTCGCGGGCGTGCGCCACCCTGGCCGCTGCGGCTGTGGCCGTGGCCGTGTCCTCTGCCGGACAACCCTCTCCGGAGGCCGCACCCTGCCCTCGTCGCCGCTCACCTTTCAGCAGGTCTTTGGCTTTCTTCGACTTGGCCAGGGCCTCCTGCTTGCCCTCGTCCAGGGCCAGCTCCGCGTCCGGCCCGCCAGCCTTGGGGCTGGAGCCCAGGTCTCCCGCCGCCTGCTCCTCCTCTGCCCGCGGCACCTCCAGCAGGCCTGCCTTTCGGCCCTGGGTCGGAGAGCGTTTCTCCCGCCCAGGAGTCCCCGGGGACCCAGGCGCGAGGCCTTTCCTAGGTCCCCGGGGAGAAACCGTGGGGCTCTCCCTTTCTTCGGGCTTGCTTGCCTCCCCGTCACCCACTGCTCTGACCTTAGGGAGGAACCTCTTCCTCCGGGCCCCCAGAGCCAGTTCCTCAGGGGTAGCTGCGGGGAGACCGGCTGGCGCCTCCCGTGGGAGCCCCTCCTCCTGGAAGGGCTCCTGGGCTCTGCGCTCTGTGGACAGAGATCCCTGACCAGAGGCTGCCTGTCTGCCTGCCTCTCCTAGCAGACCCCCCATGCTGCCCTCCCGGGAGGTCCCCAGGACGCCAGGCCCCTCAAGGGGAACCTCTCCCTCACCCTGGCTGGACTCTTCTGAGGCCGGCCCAGGGCCCTCCTCACCCACCACTATGGTGGGGACACTGAGGGGGCTGGGGCCATGGCCCCGAGCAGCAGCCAGGGCCTGCTGGCCAGCCTCCACCTCCCGGTCCAGGAGGCCAGTGATGCGGCGGGTGGTACAGGGGCTGAGCAGCAGGGTCTGCGCACTCTGCACCAGGTGGTTGTTCTCCACACGCTCCAGGATGCGCCGTGACGTCCGCGGACTCAGGCCGGCCACTCCCGCAGCGGGGGCCAGTGTGGGCGAGGGCTCCAGACCCCCGGGAGCAGCTCCCCCCGGGGCCTCGGCGCCCCCTCCACCCGTCCCTGTGCTGGACAGCTTCAGCAGCAGAAGCAAGTAGTTCTTCAGGGAATCTATGAGGCCAGGGTCGCAGCTCCGTGGGCCCGAGGGCACCCCTCCCTCGTCTGGCATCTTGGCACAGGCACCCTCATGGCTGGCTGCCGCGGTTTCTGGTAGGCGGCTCCGGGTGGGGGTCCCTGGCCCCAGGTGCGGTGCAGGAGCAGAGCTCAGCAAGGCCTGGGTCCCGGGGGGCAAAATGGCAGCGGCGCCTGTGTGCTGAGAACTGGGGGTGCTCGGCAGCCCCTGCTGTGAGCTCCCAGCCAGGCCAGTCCCAGGAGCAGGCAGAGTGGGCACCGCCGGGCTCAGGCCAGCGGGAGCACAGCCGCCCGGGTCCACCGGCGGCGCTGCCCCTCCGGTCTGCTCCAAGCCGCCCTCGGGATGCAGCTGGGCCGGCGGCGTGAGGCCCCCTGACAGGGGACCCAGCCAAGTTTTCCCTTGGTTAGTAGTGACTGTTGCCGCCGTCTCCTCAGCTCTGAGCACGAAACTGGGTTTTTCGAGGACTGAGGACCCTTCTGGGGTCTGCTCAGAACATCCAGTAACCTGAGGAGACCTGGCGCGCTGTGAAGGGGAGAGCTCAGGGGTTCCGGACTGTGGGCTGCGGCTGCCCCCTGGCTCCCTCTCGGACTGAACGTGACTCGCTGTGGGGGCGCCCCCCTCTGACTGTGTCCCCTGGTCGTCCTGCGTCCTCCTCTTCTCCTGCATCTGCTCACCTGCCCGTGCCTGCCTGCCTTCCTGTGTCCTTCCCACCTGTGCCGCTGCCCTTCCCTGTGCTGCCACATCCTCCTGGCCTCTCCTGTCCGACTCCTCTCCTTCGCTCTTCTGTGTCACAGTGTCCATCTGCGTTCCGTCTCCCTGTGTCCTCCCGTCCACGTGCATCTTCCCATCCACGTCTGTGCCCTTCTTGTTTCCGTGTCTCCAGTCGGCACACGTTCTCCTCTCCTGGGTGTCTGTATCCATGGGCTCAATGGCGCCCTGGCTTCTGGGGGCGCCGCCACCAGCAGAGGCTACATCGGCGCTGCTGCTGGCTGAGGCGGTAGGAGCCATGGCCGCCTGGGACTCCAGGACCTGAGAACACGGGGACAGAAGTGAGAACGTCACTCGTGTGCCTTGCACCTGTCTCCAGTCTGGTATCCCAGCCTCCTCTGACCTCATCCCGAATGGCCCGGATGGGAGTCCTGCCACCTGGTGGGCGTTTGGGGGACAAAGGACATGTGACAAAGTGCCCAATGTGCCCACCCCAACACCTGACCCCAGAATCTAGACCAGGGTGTGCTCAGCATCCAGGTCCGGTTCCGGCCCTTCTCCGCTCTTCCTGGAGAAGTCCTGCCTTTTCGGAAGGCCCCTGCTCACGCTGCTCATATGTCATTCCGCCCCGCACCCCCCCAGCCATGTGAGGAGAGCGTCCCCTCCCCAGGGCTTCCAACCAATTGATCCGTCCCTCTCCTGTGGCACCAACTGTCCTGGAGAGAATCGTGGGCAAAGCTCTGAGGATGGAGATGTATTTGTCACCTCACTCTTCAGGAAAATATGAAGTAATTATAAGAACATCTCCACCTTAGAGATAAAAACACTGATGGTCTGATTTGTCTATTATCAGATAGTAAGTGGCAGAGTTTAGTTTAGAAACCAGGTGTGTTCAGCTCTAAATCCCAAGTTCTTTGCTCTTATACTATAATGCCACCCATTTAAATTATAATTAAAGGATTTACTGTCTAAACATAGTGGTACAAGACAGTAATTTGCCTTTCCTCCTGGATGTAATCAAAACCAACAAAGTAAACAAGAAAAAAAGCAAACTCCACTGCTGCTGAAACTGGAGGCAAATAAAACTCAGAGTCTCAAAAAAATAGGTCATGGCTGTCAAAAGCGTTTGACATGCAACACCGGGGGCGCGGGTTGGAGCAAAAGCCGCACTGGGGAGGTGAACAGTGAGACAGCTCAGCAGGTCTCAGAATATGCCAGCAAAACAGTTACTGAACATAAAGGACGCATCCTAGGGGCAGAGGTCCCGAAACCCCACCTACAAAAGCTGTCGGACCCTGGAGGGCCGAGTGGAAGTCAAGCAGAAGACAGACGAGGGAGGTGCTCGTCACAAACATTGAAAGACACTGGATGAACAGGTAATTTAGTATTATATAATTTAAATTATAAATTACTATACACGGATACTTCTAAGTGTCAGAAGAACCACGCAACCAAAGCAAACAGACCATATAATAACTTTTAGAAATATTCAATTCAAATACATGTATGAATTAGGGAATTTAAAGTTACTTCACTGAATATGGAATATTGAATTAATGATATGAGTGGGGAAAGAGAAAAGAGTTGGGTGACTATCAGGAGCCATCAAATGTAAGTCCAACTGACCAAAGAACTTTAATAAAAATGTTTCTGCCACTTCTCTTACAACCAGCAAGATGTTAACAGACAAAAGAGCCTTCAGTCAACAAATAACAATTAGTGATATATTAGGGCCCTCTTTTAATTTCTGATATCCTAGGATTAGGACATATTAACATGGAGATGAATTCTATAAATTTACAAAGAAAATCCTGACGTTGCACAGAAGGCGTGTGAACGCGGAACTTCTGGCCAGGCTATCATCACGCCCCTTCCCCCGCCTGATCCGTCCCCGAGGGCTACCAAACCCACGCCTTCAGCACCCCCACATCCGTTCCCTCGCTCCGTCTCCCCTGCCAACCACCTAATCCACGCTGCCGGCAGTGCTTTCTTGCCTGGACAACTGCAAAGCCTCCTAATTGGGGCCCATGGCTCCACTCGTTGCCTCTGCAAAACTCATACCCTCGCTGCAGCCCAAGTGATCTTTCCAAAACACAAATCTGACGCTGACACTCCCCTGCTAAACCTCTTGGCGGCTTATCCTCACTCACAGGATGAGGCATAAAGGCCCCCGCCTGAAAGAGCAGAATTTCCGAACACTCTCTGCGGCCCGGGGATGGGGACACAGGTGGGGACCCAGCCCCGAGCACAGCAATTCGGCATTACCCAAAACAGTGAAACTAAAATAGTTCTGCTCTTTGACCAATACTTCCCTCCCTAGGCATGTATCATACAGATATGCTTTCACGTGCAAAAGGACTTATATACAAGGATATCACTGCAGTGTAGTCTGCAATCTCAAAAGACTAGAAATTATCTAAATTCCATCAACAGAGGACTGATCCAATATATTATGATACAACCCTATTCCAAATAAATAAATAAAATAAATACACAAATAAAAAGGCAAGGTACAAGATGGAAAGTATCATGTGACACTTTCGTGTAGACAATATACAGAAACACCACGTATTTGTAAATGCACGGAAAATAGCCCTGGAAAGACATCCAAGATACCACTTAACGGAAACTGACTTCAGGGAGAGGAGCTGGGTGGTGGGCAAAGCGAAGGAGGGAAGACTCAATATTCTCTAATATCTTTTATACTTTTGAGTTTTATGCCACATGCGTATGATACATACTCAGTGAAATCCAATTAAAAATGAAAATAAGTAAGCAAGCTCTTCTACGATCCGCGAGGCCTGGCCTTCAGCAAGCGTCCCGGGTCCCTCTCCCTCCAGGTTCACCTCTCAGGTCCCTCTGCCCAACACTGAACTAACTACTGTGCTATTTTATAACCACTGTGTTTTTTCTCTACTGTACATTCTCGCCCTTCTCCTCGCCCACCTGGCAGACTCCCTCACTTCACTGAAGACCTCATTCAAGTTTCTTTTCTTCTACGAAGACTCATGAGTTCACTCCTCTATCTCCCCCAAATGTAAGTGGCTTCCTACCCCATGTGCCACCCAGAATGCGGGTGTAATGACAGAAGGAGGTACATCTGCTGTGTACCTCCTTCTGTCGTTTCACCCGCATTCTGGGTGGTCGTTTCTGTTTCACGTAGGTGTCGCCTGCTGATCTGTGAACGCTCTGCCTGCGAAGAGGACCCTGCGCAGGCCCAGGGTGAGGGTCGGTGTTTAGTGGCTACGGGGAGTAAGGCTGAGCGCTTCCTGTGCTTCTCCAACCGCTGACGCTCCGGCTGTTATGTGGTGTGTGTGCCTCCATCTGAACCGTGTGGAGATACGAGTAGGAATGTATTTCTTAAAAATAAAAACTATGCGAGCTGGGGTGAACCTCGTTGGTTCTCTGTGAGCTCCTTCATGACAAAGAATACATTAGGAGTTTAATTTGCCACCCTGTCTTTCTGTCTTCCCGTAAATTATCAGAGATTAAGGGCCTAGTCTGAGTCACCTTTGCATTTTTACTACACACCCAAATCAATTCCAGGTTAATTTAAAAGTCAAATGAAGTAATTCAAACAATAAAAATTATTTAAAAATGTAAACCAATATTTAACCTTAGAACAGGGAAGGAAAGCATAAACACTAGGGAAGAAATGGTTAAAATACACATACTGTGGCCACACACAACCATTAAAAATAAAGTGTTTCGGATCATTTTTAGGAACCGTGAGAAAATGCTCATGAAAGAATGAGAAAGTAGGATATAAAACTGAATCAGAGTAACAGCACAAATTACCTTTAAAAACTAACAAAATTACATATGCAAAAAGACTGGTAGATACACCAAGATGTCTCTTCTGTACGGTGGAATTACAGGTGAATTTTAATTTTCTCCTTTGAATTTTTAGGGCTTTGCCCCCTATTTTCTACTATGACCATGTGTTTCTCTCATAATCCAAAAACAAGGTGTTTTTTAAAAAGATTTGGGAACATGAGCACCCCTACGTTCACTGCAGCGCTATTTACCATTTCCGAGATATGGAAGCAGCCAGAATGTCCATCAGGAGATGAGCGGGTAAAACAACTACGGGACACTTACATAACGGAATTCTACTCGCCCGTAAAAAAGAAGAAAATTTTACCCTTTGCGACAGCATGGATGGACCTGGAGAACATTATGCTAAGGAAAATAAGCCAGTCAGAGAAAGACAAGCACCATATGATTTCACTCATATGTGGAATCTAATGAACAAACTGAACTAACAAGCAAAATAGAGACAGACGCACAGAGCGCTGGCTGACAGCCTGAGGCAGGGGTGGGGAGCGGTACAGGGCGGAGGGGGGGGGGGGGGGCGGGGGCGCCGGACAGACTGAGCGAAAAGGGAAAAGGACTCGTGCACCCGGACAACAGTGTGGGTCTTGCAGGGAGGAGGGCGTAAGAGAGGGATAAATGGTAATGGAATTGCACTTTTTCTTAATATTTTTCTTTTGTTTTTAGAAGAAGATTTGGTACTTTGAGAATGTGAAAAGCCAGTCAAATGCAGCCACCAGAAAGCAACAGCTTCAAAATATACACAGATGTTAAGTGTATTTTTTCACATGTATATTTCACTTTTTTTTTTTAAAGTATAAAACAATAAAATAAAAGCCACACACGCTTTTGGCAGGAGCAGCAGAGGCACTGCAGTCCGCCTCCCCGCTGCCCGCGCGGCCCCAGCCCTCTCCCCTCACCTCCGGGGGGCTGGGGCGGCCCTGCCGAGGTCCTGCCATGGGGCGCCCCGCCCCGCGGGAGGGGGGGCCAGATGCGGGCCGGGCCTGGCCGCCAGCCTGGTCACTCCCTACAGGAGCGCCCCAGGGGCCCGCGAGAGCCACCCTCCAGGAGGGCCTGCCATCCTGCCGGCAGGCTGTCCGGTCCCTGAAGCAGCCCCCTCGGGGCCATTAGAACACACACCAGCTGCTGGAACTTCCTGAGGCCAAGCACGAGGGCAGTGAGCAGAGTCCAGAGACTCCGGTGTGAGGTTCACCCCGCTCTGCAGGCCTCTGAACAGCGGTCCCCACAGACTGGCCTCAGCGTCCACTGAAAGGAAACCATTGCCCCGCGCCCCCTTGAAACTGCTCTCTCCCTCCTCCCCCCAGCGGAGTTCTCCCCGTGGCAAAGGCAGCGCCTCGCTGCGGCCCATGTCGCACCGCTTTCCCTGTGCCCTCCACGAGGCGCCGGAGCAGCTCGTCCCTCACGTGAGCCCCTCACGGCTCCAAGAAGCCATCTGTCCTCGGCCCGACCCCGGCGCAGCCCTGCTTCCCGCTGCTCCTCCCCTTTCCAGGCTCCTGCTCCCTCCAAGAAACAGTCTTAGCTCAAGTCCAGCCAAAGTGCTGTCTCCACTTCGGGCTGCCAGATCGAGCAAAAAGAAGTACAGGACACCCGGTTAAATGTGAATTTCAGACAGACAACCAGTAATTTCTCGGTATCAGTATATTTTGCCTCTGTGACCCACCCCAGCCCTGCTCTTGAAGCATGTATTCTTTCTGCCAGTCAGAAAACACGAGGCCTCTTCCTGCCCCGCTAGGCAACGCTCTGTCTCCCAAGACTCCCGGGAAAACCGCCTGCCCTCTGACCCCTGAAACACAGGACAAAGGCCACACGGGACAGACTCGTTCCCTCCTGTCCTGCCTCTCGATTCCACCCCCACACTCTCCACCCACCCCCACACTCTCCATGCCATTGTCACCCCCCACCTCTTCCTTCAAAGAGGGGAGACTCCCACCTGGTCTCCACACGAAACATCCCCCTTCCCCTGCCGGCTACCTGATCCCCCGAAAACGGTGACACTCCCGCGCCCAGGGAGAGCGGTCTCCCCGTCTCCGGCCACAGTTCCGCCCTGTACCTACTGCTGTGGGCTTAGTTCTTCGTAAGCACCAGGCCCTGTGCTAAGCACTCTAATTCTTGCAACAGGTCTGTGAAGGTGCTTCTATTCTTAATCTGATTTTACAACTTGTTCATGATAACGTGGTGTTCAGGATAGTCAGGTCTGCACACAGGTACACCTGACTCCAAAATCTTGGGTTAAACCCCACATTCCACCACGATTTCCCCGACAGCTGGTAGCGTTTAAACCCTCTGGCGAGCACCCGGTCGAGGCCGGGGGCACTCACGGCACAGGCCTGCCCCTGCCTCCCCTGCGACACGCCGCCCTGGGACAGCGCCCAAAACACACTCTCCCCTGGCTTTTCCGCCCCAAAGAGCACCGTCCTCTTCCACCTCCCCCGGGGCCCGGCCCTTGGCTGTGAACACCCACACTGTCACAGGGCAGAGGTCACAGTCAGACTGGGCTGCCCACACGCCTGGCATCTGGAGAGGGGCCAGGGCGAGGGCCAGGCCTGTGGTCCCCTGCTCCAGGCTGGCACTCCGTCCCACCCCACCCCTGCTATAAATATCCCACTGCTCACTGGCTGCCGAGCCGCTGCAGCAAGAGTTTCCATGAAGTCAGCTTCCCAGAGCGACCCCCCGGCACCCCGCACCCACGCTTACCTCTCCTGGGGTCCTGCGGCCGGCCCGTCCCTGCAAGGGGCTGTCCTGCGCGCTGTGTTTCCGCCGGGAAGGGGGTGTGGGCACCTGCACAGGAGCCTGAGGCGGAACCCTCCCCAAGCCCTGGGCTCTGGGCTCTGGAGCCTGACTCAGGGAAGACTCGGGCTTGCCGTTGGTGGCGGGCTCTTCTTTGGGCTTTGGAGGGGCAAATCTCTTCCTGTTGAAAGCCCTAGTGGGCTGAGGGGCGGAGGGCACATGCTGGCCAGGGGCGGCAGGCCCTCTCTCGCCTTTTGCTTCGTGGGGCACCTCCCCTGAGGGCGTCTCCCCAGGTGCCCTGACGTCCTGGGCATGGGGCTCCTCTTCCCCCTGAGGCCTGGCTGCTCGGATGCTCTCCAGATACATATCCTTCAGGGAGAAACACACTTCCTGGTCTGGGCCTGGGCCCGGGGCTGGGGCCTTGTGGGGCTGGGCTGGGGAGCCCACGGCCGACGCCGGCTCCCTGGTGCTGCCTGTTCCTGAAGGCCCAGGCCCGCGGCCTCCCAGCCAGGTCTGAACCCGCTCTGTGTCCATGGGCCCCTCTGTCCCACAGGGGTCAGGCTTGTCTGAACTGGGGACACAGTTTTCAGAGCGGTGGCCTCGAGCTGCCTTCTCTAACTCTGGCTTCTGCAGGCCAGGCTTCGCTTCCTCGGCTTTCTTTTTCTTCTTGGCCCCAGATTCCTTTCGGGGGGCTCTCTGAGGCCCCAGCTCCATGGCCTCACAGATGTAGGTCAGCAGGCCGTGATCTCCGTCCTCGCCATTCTCAGGGGCAGCATCCCCGTTGGTGGTCACCTCTCCGGGAGCAAAACTGTCGATCAGGCCCAGACGTGGGGGCTGACCGGGCTCAGTCTCCCTCTCTTGCCAAGCTGCCGAGATCCTGTCCTCAGCCTCCCTGGTGGGGGCTGCGGGGACGGGCACCTCAGCCCCGCTCAGCCGTCGCTTTCGCTGGAAGCGGTCGGGGCTCAGCTTGCGCAGGGTGTCGGCCTCTCCCGCCGCCTCCTTCCCGTGCTTCCAGCTCTGCTCGATCTCACGCATCTTTGCCGCGGCCTTGCGCTTCAGCTTGGCGAACCAGCGCTGGTGGATCTTGTACTCAGTCATGGTGCCCACCTCTAGGACCCCCGAGCATGACACGATACCCTTGCTGTTCCGGGCAGAGGCCTGGTAGATGGCAGCATCTTCTTCTTGGCACCTGGAGGCAGGAGCATTCGATGCCAACCCTTCCCCACTCCCCGCAGCCCGAGCCTTCCCCAGCTGAGCAAGCTGCCCAGCCCCGACGGGCCCTGCGCTGAGGGCCACGCCCCACTCAGACAGCGCTGCATCCCACAGTCTCCATTACAGTTGAGGAAACCGAGGCCAGCAAGAGGGTGCGCGCTGACCAGGATCATGCTGTTCCGGGGGGATTAGCCGTGGGCACAGGAGCACTCCCTTCAGAGGCAGGTGACCCACACAGCCCCTTGGGAAGGGTGACACAAGGGTTTTTTTTGGCAGCTGACCTCACGGAAAATGTTTCCATGGGTCAGGACCTCCTGTGGCTGCACTCGGCCCTCTGGCCGTCCCAGACGCTCCCACCCCGGCCCCAGGAGAGCCAGGCACGCGCAGGCAGACACGGGGCACCGGGCGGTCCCACTTGGCAGCGGCATCCCACCCCCAGCCCTGGATCCGGCCTGGGCACCTGCATCCAGATGACTCCACCCTGAGGGCAGGCTTGAGCCGCAGAACCCCCCTGGGGGCAGGCAGAGCCGAGCAGCCCCCGCCCCTCACCTGTAGAGCTGCAGTGTGTGGCGGTTGCCCTGTTGAGTGATCTCATATTTTGGCAAGCCACAGTAGCGGTCCAGCTCCATGTCATCCTTGTACCAGGTCACCTCTGGCTCTGGGTATCCTAAGAAGGAAGGAGGAGATTGGGTTGCAGGAAGACCAGTTCCAAAAGAGTGAAAGGAGAGACCAGGATGCGGTGGCTCCCCGAGAGCCACCTAAGGAGACTGGCCTGGCCCCCCCGCCACAGGCGTGCTCGGGGAGCAGGGCTCTAACACGGTTCAGGTGGCAGCTGCTCCTCCTCAGCAGCTGGGAGGCAAATATGGAGGAGAAACCGCCTAGCTTCCTGGTAGGAGGAGAAGCAAGAAGTTTCTAGAAAGCCTTAAGCATCCTTCCTTCAGTGGCCTGTTCTACATCCTCAGCTGCAGCGATGGCTCTACCCGCAGGGACATCCCCCAACACTGGCACCGCTGCCACGAGCCCTCCGTCCTTCGCTCCTGGTCCCTGTGCTATTATTCAACGATGTGGCTGATACACCCAGCCGCCCACCCGCTCACTGCTGTGACGCTGACTGAAGCATCTCCCCGGGCCCTCCTCTCGGGGGACGTCCAGCCCGACCCACAAGGAGAGAGTCTAACTTTTAGAGTCACGTGGTCCCTGCCTCCCTGGCCACAGAGCTGATTGATCCAGTAGGAGACAGCCAGTCAGCTAATCTAGTCCAAGCCACTGACCTAGGATTTGGGAATGAGGACACAGAGAGAGTCTACCCTTGTGTCTGGAAATACAACTTCAGAGGGACGCAACCATGTTCTGCCACGTGGCCTGAGGAGCAGACAAAGATGGTCTATAGGATGATGGAAAAATAAACTCGATGTTTGGGACAGAAGCAGAGCTCAAAGCCAGAGACAGCCCCAACGCCCTTCCCAGCGCTGGCTCCATTCCTTGCCTGGGCACTGCCGCGCTCCGGTCACTTCCATAAAAAGCCTGTCTAGCCTTACCAACGAATCCAGCCAACTCCCGCTGATTTGCCGCACTTATCAGAAATCTGGGACTCCTCACATACACCCCCTCAAATATATACATTAAGTGTGCGCTGGCTGCCAAGCCAGAAGCTTGGCGGAAGGGGTTTCTGCTCTCAGGCAAACTATTGCTCAGCAAAAAAGGTAAGACAGGGCCCCAGACAAGGGAGGGACACACCTGCCCCTGCACACCTGCTCTACCGTCCCCGCTGTCTACGGAGAACCTGCCCAGGCGCCTCCCCAAGCCACCCACACTGGACCCCACCTCCTCTAGGCTCATCGGGAACATCTTTCCAACAACTGCTGCCGCGGCTCCCTCCTGCCCCAGCAAACTTTTCCTCTCTGTTACATCACTGCCGTCCGAACACAAGCCTGCTGTACGATCCACCCTCATTAGAAAGCTCTTCCTTCGACCCCAGTCTTCTTCTAGCTCCTGCACCCATTTCCCTGTTCTCTCTTTTCAGAATACACTTAGAAAGGCTCGTCTGTACCCGCTTGTCTTGGCTCTTCTCCTCCAAGCAGGCTTTTGTGCCCACCACTGCCCCAGAACGGCTCTTGTCCGGGCCACCTGGCCTCAGACAGTGCCAGGTCACCGCCAATCCTTGCATCTCACCTACCCGATCGATCAGCACTGACCCCTCCCCTGGCGCTTCCAGAGGCTTGTTCCTCACTTGCTCCTGGACACCACTCCTGCTGGCGGCTCTTCCTGCTTCACTGGCCGGCTTTCCTAACCTCGCCCCCCTCACCACCTGGGCCTGTGAATGGGAGGTATCCCAGGGCTCCGGCCTCAGAAGCACTTTCCACTCTCCCTCCACATAACCTAGGGCACCTAATCCCTTCCTGGGGCCTGTAAACATCTCTGTGCTCGTGACGGCCATGTTTACACCGACAGTCCAGCCCTCACCCCAAATGTCTGCTCCCTGCTTCTGACTGCGGACCTGACATCCACATGGAGGTCTAATAGGTATTGGAGTGAATGTGGCCCAAACCAAGCTCTTTCTTCTCTCTCCCAAGTCAGTTCGCACACAGCTCACTAAGTGGCAACTCCATCCTTCCATTTTGGCTTAGGCCAAACCACGAAGGTAACCCTTTGCTCCTTCCTTTTCTCAAGTCCACTCCATCAGACACTCCTACAGGCCCTCCCTTCAGAACGTACCCACCGTGCATCACTTCTTGCCGTTCCCACCACCAGTCTGGTCTATCGGCCACCCCACGCCTGGATTTCTGCAATAACGTCCTCTCTGATCTCGCTGCTCCCCACCTGGCCTCTCCTCAGCCCGTTCTCAGCACAGCAGTCAGAGGGAGGGTTTTTCACTAAAGCAGGCCGGGGGGCTCCTCTGTTTGAAACATCCCGATAGCTGTGGCAGGGGTGGCTCAGTGGATTGAGTGCTGGCCTGCAAACCTAAGGGTCACCGATTTGATTCCCAGTCAGGGCACACGCCTGGGTTGCAGGCCAGGTCCCTGGTTGGGGGCAAGAGGCAGCCAATCGATGTTTCTCTTGCTCACAGATGTTTCTCTCCTTCTCTTTCTCCCTCCCTTCCCCTCTCTCTAAAAATAAATAAAGTCTTTATTTTTTTAAAAGATTTTATTTATTTATTTTTAAAGAGAGGGGAAAGGAGGAAGAAAGAGAGGGCTAGAAACATCAACGTGGGGTTGCCTCTTGTGCGCCCCCTACTGGGCACCGGGCCCGCAACCCACGCATGTGCCCTGACTGGGAATCGAACCAGCGACCCTTTGGTTTGCAGGCTGGCACTCAATCCACTGAGCCACATAAGTGAGGACTAAATAAATAAAATCTTTAAAAAAAGAATCCCAATGGTTCCCATTTCGTCAAGGCCTCCTGACCTGGGCGCCCCATGAGCACGCTTGCCCCACCTCCTGCCACCCTCTGCCTTGCTCGCTGCACCCCACCCGTGTGGTCCTGCGGGCTCACCTCCCACACACCACGTCAACGCCACACTGCCATTCCCTGTCTGTCCTTGTGTCACCTCCTCAGAGAAGCCTTCTCTCCCCGCACTTTGTAATCCTCACACCATGTTTATCTCCATAGAATGCATGGCTACCTGACATGTTATACACTGTGAGTTTGTTCGTTCATGCCCATCCTCGCCAGCTGCCCGTGGAAACATCAGCTGCATGACTTATCTGCGTTCTTAACTACTGTGTCGCCAGTTCCTAGAATAGTGCCTGGTATGGAATCAACGCTCATTGAATATTTATAGATGAATGAATGAAGCAATGCACTGAGTGCTCAGGGTACAGAGAAGGGAGCAGAAAAGGGGGCTGGGGTTCAGGAAAGACTTCGTGGCAGGAGCGGCTTCTGAACTGGCTGTGTAAGGGGGGTGGGCCAGAAAACATGCGTTCAGGGCCTGCACTCGCGCTTCATAGCCTGTAACTGCCTCCTCCTTGACATATGTCCTATGGGGGCAGGAATTGTATCTTCCTTACTACCGCGTCCTCACCGCCTACGACAGCGCTCGGCACACAGCAGTTGCTTAATAAAACCTGCGAGACGAGTTGAGTACATGAGTAAACAAGGGAATGAGTGAATAAACAAGCCAGAGGTGACGGGAAGGACATGCCCGACCACGGAGCACAACGGCAGAACGTGGCAGTGGAAAACAAAGGGCACCCTGGGGGAACTGTGTACAGGAGCAGGGGCAGCAGAATCCAGGCTGCAGCGGGGCAGCCAGGAACAAACTCTGGGCAGCCCTGACTGTAAAGCGAACCCCATGTTTCCACTGTCAGCTAAAGCCCCTGGTTACATCACTGTGTGTGCGGCCAGGACCAGCACAGGTGTCCTCACCATCCTGTGGGATGATCTCATCCCTGCGCAGCCCGGCTCTGAGCCTCCCTGCCCCATGACCTGCCCGTCGGGCCTCAGCCTCCGGGGCATCTGAGTCGAGCGGGGCTGGAGCGAGGGGGCAGGGATGGGGGAAGAGGAGGACACTGAATGAAACTCCACAGCCTCCAGGCCCCGCTCTGGTGACTCTTTGCAACGTGGCGGGGCCAACATGACAGCTTAGGGCTCCATGGCCACAGCGGGTTTTGGAAACAACTGGATTCAGGGAGAAAACACAGCCCTGTCCCTGGAGAGCATAACTGTATTCTCAAACACACAAGAGCAGGAGAGATCCTTCCTCCCTGCTGCACACGCGTGCTCGCCCAGTGTCTGCCCATGGCAGGCGTGCACACGCACGCACCTGGCCCTGGCCAGGAGAGCCCACAGCGGCACTGCAGCCTGTGGCCATCCCCTTCGCTGTCACCCCCGTGCCCTCTGCTCCACAGCCAGCAGGCCTGTGGCTGGGACCCAGCTCGGAGACATGCAGCCTCATCCCAACCATTCCCGGTTTGGAGAAGCTCAGATTCAGGAGAAGAATCATGATGAATGGAAATCTTGAGTTTTCAAAGAGCTGTCAAATACAGGATTTCATCTGGCCCTTGGACAATCCTGTGGAAGTAATCGTTAATGTTTACTGAAGACTTACTGTGTGCCAAACACTGAGCTGAACATTTTTTTGTGTATTCTCTCATCTAACCCTCATAAAAATCCTGCAAAAAATGTTATTAATTCCTAATTTGAAGAAGAGGAAATCAAAGCCTATGAAATGAAGGCTGCTACCCAAAGTCATCCAACTGGGAAGGAGAAAAGCCAAAATTCAAATCCCTCTCCTCTATGAAACAGACAGGGCCGTGTTTTAGTCCCTATTTCACACAAAAGGAAGATGACACCCAGAGAAGCTGAGGAACTTACCCAGGGTCACCAGGCTGGCCCCTGACAAAGCCTGGGTTTCCTGTTCCCTTTCCTAATGCCCTTTCTCCTGGGGATTCCTTCTGGGTAAGTTTTTGCACCCAGTAGTCATTTATTAGACTTAACATCTCTAAAAAGTTTCTTCAGTGACTTGGTTCTGTCTGGAGGCTCAGTCCCTCTATCCACCTGGCCTGTTGCTGGCATTTCCTCCTCCCCCTGCGCCAACATATGGGTGCACAGACACACACAGGCGCTCACACACGCCCCAGCGCAGAGCCCACAGCAGCGCTGGGCCGGGGGGCAGGAGGCCTCCATGCTAGACAGCACAGGCGGCCCCCAGGAGGACAGCAGCGTGCC